TATATATATATATGTATATATATACATATATACGTGTATATATGTATATATATATTATATAAATGTATGTATAATATATGTAGTTATGCAGAATTCAATGCAGCGTATGAATATTATATATACTACAGGGTAAAATAATTGTTCTGCTTCTTCCCGATTCTCTGTCTAAAACTGCTCTCGTAACAATGTTTATGAGGATATTACGTGGGTATTTAAAGAGCAAATTGCTCAAAGCTCCTGGCACCTTCATACGTTAGCTTATACAATGGAACTCTAACTATAAATTTAAAATATCATTATCTTTCTGCATATATTGTAATAAGAATTGAAAGTTTTCAGTACTTTGGTATTGTTATCGGTTTAGTGAATTGTATCTTAAATTTACTCCGCTCTAAATTGACTTGATTTTATTATATAATTTAGATTGTTTGCATTTCATATTGATGTTATTTTAATGTAGGGCAATTCATTCATCCTAATACTAATGCTTATGCTGTTGAAAGAGATACACTCTATATAAAATGAAATGATTTAAATAAGTTTTATACATTAATGCAACTATCAAATTCAACTTGGTCTTGGTCAATATTGATATGGTCTCTAATAATAGACTAATGCAGTATAATAATAATAATAATTCTATAATAACTATTATTATAGGCTTAATTATCTGAAATCGGACACAAATCAGAATTTTATAGAATGTTTTACTACTGAAGAACGGCATTATAAAAAACTAACTTTATTTAAAGCATACTAATGTAGTTAATGATCGAGAGATATTTTCTCCTAAGTTACGATTGAAAGCTAATAAAAGCCCACATAACTATGCTAATTAAGCAATTAAAATATTGATTTGATTGGTCAAGTTCATTATTTCAGCAGAGGCAATATATATTTAAAATGGGATTTTAATTGAATTTTGTGTCGCTGCATATGTTTTGAGGTAGGTGCTTATCCCGGTGTTGCAGCAGCACACATAATGATCGCAATAATCCTGACCTGACATTGAGTTCACCACTGGTCAAGATTTCCAGTACTGCCTCCGGTGTTAAGAAATAGAGCTTTTCCGACATGTAAACACGAGTGGAACGCTTCTGGATATACCCCGTTTATTAGTACAGACCTAAGCTCTAAGCCTATAATAGCGGACAATACTGTTCAGTTATCTTCTGAAGACAAATAGATCAATCCATCCGAATCTCCGACACATGATCAACACATCAGTTCTTCTCAGAACAAATTTAAACTGATGTTTATTCTTCATGTAAAGCTTGGTTTCCATACAATCGCTACACTTTATCGCCGACAGCTTTCGGTGATGTTGATTGGTCGATCGAATCTGGGAGCCTTCCCGATTGTACAACGATTGCACTGAAAACACTGTAGCGACAATGCAGCGATTTTAAGGAAACCAGGCTTACCAGGAATGGTCGACAAATAATACGAGCAGCTTGCTTGTGTCGTTGGGCAGGCATCAACTTTTCGCTCTAAATCAGGAATAGGCCTAGGTACCTGGGAGGTTAGAATGCCAATACGCTGGTAACTAGCTATAGCATTACGATATACATGAGTGAGGATCCATTAGATATTTTGGGGTAATAATGCGAAGCGCCTGGAGGCCCTTTGGGGTAATATATTATGTATAAAAAAAATAACTTTATTATTCTCTTAGTTACGTATGGTAGTATCGTCCGCAAATACGTATTAAAATATAATAAATCTGTAAATTGTTGTCACTGACGTTAAATTTAGAATAGTGTCAACACTGAACATTGCGGAAGGTGGTAGCCTCTGACGTTATAGATTCCACCAATGTGATATTTTACCTTAAATACTACTTCAGATATTTTGGGATAATAATGCGAAACGCTTAGAGGCTCTTGGAAATAACTTGGATATAAAAATAACCTTATTATTTCCTTAGATAGGTGTGGTAGAATCGTCTGCAAATATGTATTAAAATATTTTGAATCTGTAAATGTTGTTACTGACGTAAATTTAGTGCTAACATTGAACATTGCGGAAAGTGGTAACTTCTGACGTTATAATCTACACCAATGTGATATTTTACCTTAGATTTTACCTTTGATATTTTGGGATAATAATGCGGAGCGCCGAGGCTCTTGGCAAGAATGTGTATATAAAAATAACTTTATTATTATTCCCTTAGATAGGTGTGGTAATATCATCTGCAAATATAAATTAAAATATATTGTAAATGTTGTCACTGACGTAAATTTAGAACAGTACCAACATTGAACATTTGGAAGCTATTAACCTCTGACGTTATATTCCCATCCAATGTGATATTTTACCTAAGGCCAATGACACTTTGTTCTCCATTCGTCAGGAAGCCTTGAATACATTTATTCATAATCCAATGTATAAGAATAGGTATACTTGAAATAATTTCATTTAGCTTCAATTAACGTATAGATGATACATTTCTTGTATGGGGAAGCTATTAAAAGAACTCGGTTTCCCGGAGGCCCGCACATACACTTCAACACATAAATCAATATCTACGCTACACCTCTGCTCTCACCATCCACTTGATTATAAACTGGGGCTAACAATTTATATATATATATATATATATATATATATATATATATATACACTGGGGTCGCAGGTTCGAGTCCCGCCAGAGGCATTTTATTACACAATTTCTTTATTTGTTTATTTACAGGACTGCATTCGTTGAGGACTATGTTCCACGATGCATTATTAAGTCCTTTATTACAACACTGTATTTACCTTACTTTGATTATTTATATATATATATATATATATATATATATATATAAACTGGTGGGCTGCATTGGCAAACAAGATAGAAAAAACAAAAACTCAGAGATATGGTAATAAGTTGCCAGATATATAGTTTTATTCAAGTGAGCAAACGTTTTCGGTTATCAACCTTTGTCAAGCACAAAAGCATAGACACAAAAGCATAAACATTCGTAACACATGTCATAAAATTTATCTAATAGGGTTTCGGTAATGATGATCAAAAATGAAAATTATGTTATAAGCCTAAAGTAATTTAGTCATGATTATAAACAATTAAGAAATTTATTATGGTTTAATTGCTTGTTTGCATGGAAAATCAACGAAATGAGTCCGTCATAACTGGCATCGAAAGCTTTATTCCCGGTTAAAAATATACATGACAGTATATAATGATACATTACTTATATATTTCTGCACCGAAACTTAGACTAAGAACCAGGATAGTTTCAGTAAAAAGTAATAAATTGTAGGGCCTACAATATTCAGTTTCATCAACGCGTTCGCGCCCAGGATGTTCGAACCAGGGTCCCTCTCAGAACCTTGTTACGCCATTGAGCAAGACACAAAAGCATAAACATTCGTAACACATGTCATAAAATTTATCTAATAGGGTTTCGGTAATGATGATCAAAAATGAAAATTATGTTATAAGCCTAAAGTAATTTAGTCATGATTATAAACAATTAAGAAATTTATTATGGTTTAATTGCTTGTTTGCATGCAAAATCAACGAAATGAGCCCGTCATATTTACTCTCATTTTCTTTATCATTTGCTCACACTTTCTTAACAATAATATAGGCCTACACCTCTGTTTCCGTTGTTGGCTTCTTCTTTTCTTTACTTTTAGAAACAGAAACATAATTTACAAGTCTTTTTTGTTACACCACAATTTTCTTTAACGAAGATATATTAAATGTTTTTTATATAGCAATCTCCTTATATGGAAAATCAAGAAATGTTGAAGCTTGACGCGTAGGACTACGTGACAGTTTACACGGTAAAGATATTAGGTCTTCAAAATTTTAGAGACCATTAGGCAATTAAGATTACAGATAAACTAGCATC